ACGCATGCAAGTGAATGTACCATTGCTCTTTGGGAGAAAGAAAAGGCTGTCTGCTCCTTGTAAAGTCTCAGAAACCCACAGAGGCAGTTCGCTCTATCTTATAGGGTCTGATGAGTTGGAATCCACTTGATGGCAATGGGTTTTTGTGTTTTGAGTCAGAATCAACTCTATGGCAGCGTGTTGGGTTTTGGGTCACATCCCACCATTCAGTTCTCAGCTCAACTTAACCCTCCCAGAGGCCTCCTTGGCTGCATGTTATACAAGCAGAGTTAGGAGCTTGGAAGACATGGACAAATACTTGGAAAAACATCCCCTCCTCAGATTATCTCATCTAGATGTCAAGAACCTGAACAGACCCACAGCAAAAGAAGAAATAGATAAGGTTATCAAGGAACTACCTACTAAAAAAAGTCCCAACCCAGATGGCTTCCCAGGAGAATTCAACCAAGCATTCAGAGAAAAGCTGACACCAATTCTATGCAAGCTCTCCCAGAGCAGAGCAAAGGACAGTAAACTCCCACACATTCTATGAAGCTAGTATAACACTGATACCAAACCCAGGTAGGGATCCCACAAGAATAGAGAACTACAGGCTGATATCTCCAATGAACATTGATGCAAAAATCCTTAACAATATCTTGGCCAACAGAATACAAAAGTATATAAAACAAATAATTCATCATGACCAAGTGGGATTCATACCAGGGATGCAGGATGGTTCAGTATCCGAAAACCTATCAACATTATCCATCACATTGATAAGAAAAATGACAAGAACCACATGACGATACCAATAGGTGCAGAAAGGGCATTTGACAACATTCAACACCCATTCCTAATGAAGACACTCAAGAAGATAGGACTGGAATGAAATCACCTCAATATTCTTAAAACTATATAGGAAAATCCAACAGCCAGTGTTACAATCAACGGCGAAAAGACGAAAACATTCCCACTGAAAAGGGACCACACAAGGATGCCCCTTGTCCCCACTTTTATTCAAAATGGTCCTGGAGGTCCTAGCTAATAACCTCAGGCAAAGGAAGGACATCAAAGGTATTCATCTGGGGAAAGAAGAAGTGAAACTCATTATTTGCAGATGATATGATTTTATATATTGAAAATCCTAAAGGCTCCATAGTGCTGGAAGCGATAGAGGAATATAGTAGAGTGGCAGGATACAAGATCAACAAGCTGAAGTCAATTGTACATCAGATAAGATCAAAGAAAAGGAGCTCAAGAAGGCAGTACCCTTCACAATAGCCAAACATAAATTGAGATATCTAGCGATATTCCTATGCAAAAAAACCCCAAAATATCTGTGTGAGGAAAACTGCTGAACATAATTACAAGAAACCAAAAGGCACCTTCACGAATGGAAAAATATCCCATGCTCGTGGATCAGAAGACTCAATATTGTAAAGGTGTCAAAATGACCTAAGGCACTATATAAGTTTAATACAATCCTGAAACAGATACCATCATCTTTTTTCAAGGAAATGGAAAAACTGACTACCAACTTCATATGGAAAGAGAGTAATAAGAGAGCTTACAGACTGGGTAAAGATATTTAACAATGACATATCAGACAAAGTGCTTATTACTAAAACCTACAGAATTCTGCAAGCTCACAATAAGAAAAAACAAAACAATTGCCCACTGCGGAGGTGGGCAAAAGACTTGAACAGAAGATTCACAAGGGAGGAAACCAAATGACCAATAAACATATGAGAAAATGTTCCCAATCATTAGCCATCAGAGAAATGTAAATTAAAGCAACGATGAGATCCCACCTAACACCCACAAAGGTAGCCCAATTCAAAAAATCAGAAAGCAACAAATGTTGGAGGGGGTGTGGTGAGACAGGAACTCTCATTCACTGCTGGTGGTCTTGTAGATACATATAGCCACTGTGAAAAACAATTTGGCGATACCTAAAACAGAGGGAAATCAAGTTATCCAGGACCCATCAATTCCACTGCTGGGCATATACCCAGAAGAAATTAGAAACAGACCATGACCAGATATCTGTGCTTCAATGGTCATCGCTGCGCAGTTCACAGTTGTAAAGAATTGGAAACAACCTAAATTTCCATCAATAGACGAATGGATTAAAAACCACTGTATAGACACACTATGGAGTACTATGCATCCCTAAAAAAACAGTCATGAAAAGATAAAGCACCTTGTCTTGTAGAAAGGGTTGGAAAATATTATGCTGAGTGAAGTTAACCAAGCACACAAGGGCAAGTACAACATGAGTCCACTAAGGTCAGTTCAAACATCAGGATGAGCATAGGGAAAATGCACATATTGTACAGTTCCCGGGCTGAGGAACAATACTCTGGCAAGAGCCAGAGCTAACTCAGTGATGCATAAATCATCAAAAAAGAAAGAAAGAAGAAAAATAATAAGATGCAGATAGCGCCTGTGCTGAAAGACATCTTTCCCCCACCTCTCATAGGCCTTTATGGCCCTCAGAGGGGCAAAAGAAATAAGATGACAATAGGGGACCAGGGCACTAATCCACCAAGGGGAGGGTATTGCTTATATCCTCACAGGAAAGGCAGAGAGAGAGTAGAACTCATTTTGGTGAGCCAATTCTTGAGGTCAATGTTCCTGCTCAGAGTAGCTCCTTCACAGAGAGGTTGGCAGGTCTGGCTTCAGCTCAAGGCATGATGTCCCCTCCCTGGATGACAGCACTACAAAGGACAGCACTGAGGATGCAGTTCAGGGAGCGCAGCCGGTTTGAGCCACCCATACAGAGGCAAACCAAGAGGGGAGGGCAACAGACCAGCAATGGGAGCAAAGCCATGAAGTCCCTGAGGAATCCGGGATGCAGCCTTCTAACTTGGGGTGGGGCAGCACTTGGCACCCCATCTGAACTGTTACTCGCAACAGGTCCACATTGAAAGTTTAGAGGTGCAAAGGGGCTGGGGAGGGGCACTCGAGCACTCCATCCCTGACTGCAGGAATAACAGTTTTGTAGAAGGCATGCCCCTCAGTCATAAATGCTGAGGACTAAAAGGGTATACATGTTGTTAGTTGTCAGGTAAGCAGCCCTGGGATATGGAACCCAGAAAGAAAAGGGGATTGGACTGATGGATTATAACAAGGCCTGCTAGCTATTTAACAGAGAGATTCTCATCTACTCTGGGTCAGGATAACAGAGACACTTGGAACTATGTGCATGGCCTTTTTCTTATTCTCGTTTTTCCTTTTGGTGTCTATCTATTTAAGATTGGCAGGATAAACAATCCCAAGGAAACAGTGGTGGGACCAAAGATTCAAGGGCGGGGCAGGGCATGGGAGGGGAGGAGGCAGGGAGAGGGGAGCAGTGAGCCAATAATGACAGGGATAGGGGAATAGGAAAGGTACTAAAATTGATGGTGAGAAGGGTGTAGCATTCCTGGTGATGTTTAATCAGTTGAAACGTGTTCGAGAGGAATTACTGAGAGGTGAACATGGATAAACATGATATTGGGACAGGAGGAAAAAAAAGGAAAGTAAAAATTATATATAGGTATAAATATAGATATGTACATATATAAATATATGAAGATAGGTGTGTTTGTCCATGTACAGTAAATATATATGTAAATACAACAAGGAAGCCCACCCCGCGTCCTCATTCGTCACCTTGCTGGCCCTTGCTCCCTGCTAGCTGGGGTAGCCTTGTGCCTCAGTGCTCACAGAGACGATGCTCTCGCCAATGCTCAGCCACTTGCATGCAGGCACACACAGGTCACAGCCCCGGCGTTGTCCTGAGACCAGTGCGTGGGGGCTCCTGTGAGGCAGCATCCCAGGCCCACCCTCCAGGGCTACCAAAGACAAACATCCACAGAAGCCCCTGGGCAGTGCCCTGTCGGCCTCACATCTCTGTCCATCTCATGTTTCCTGTCTCACCTGTCTTCCAGGCTAGAATCTTTGAGAGGACAGGGTAACCTTTGCCCCATGCAGGGTGGCAACTTGGTGCCCCCACCGGAGCCTGCCTCATAGTCTCCTCCTGGCTACTCTTGTCACCCCTCCCCAGCTCTCTCCTCTACCCTCACTCCCTCCTACCCATCTCTGCTGGTCCTATACGCCCCCTTTCTGCCCTCAGGACAGCTCAGGCCAGTCTCATGGCAGCAGGCTGGGTAAAGCTAGCTTCTGGAGTTGGTATTCAATGCCTGTCAGAGCCAGTCCCAGCCCTTCTCCTGCCCCTGGGCCATGAATGGCCCCACCCTCAGGCCTTGAGCTTGGGGCATCTGCTCTCTGCTCAGCCCTGTCTTCCAACGGCTTCCTTCTGCACGGGCTCGTGCCCACCCTCGTTCAGCGGGGATCTCACCCTTCCTACAGGCTCAAAGGAGGCCGAGGCTGGAGGTCCCACAGAGTCCTCTGCAGCCCCTCCTCCTCCTCTGGGCGGGCCTGACCCTGTGTGTGTCCAGGGGCCTGCATAGAAATGCTTAGTGAGCCCTGGGACAGTGGGTCCCAACACCATCCTAGTGAGGGCCTGGGAGTTTGACACTGGGAGTGAGGAAGCTGGCAGCATTCGCCCCACCCTAAAGTGCAGGTCAGGGAACAGGTGAGCCTGGGAGGGATCAGGGGAGCTAAGGAACAGGTAACTGATCAAGGACAAGGAATGGGCCCCCGCCCCTGTGAGCTCAGGAGTGTGTTCAATTTAGGGAGCAATGGACATGGAGCAGAATGGCCCTAGCTCCAGCCCAAGACACCAGAGTGATGTGGGGGCACTTGGGACATATGAAACTCCTGCCCCATTCCCAAGGCCCTGAGCACCTGCCCTGCCAACCCCAGGCTCATGTGACCTTGGCCACTGTTGGAAGCCAATTAGCCTTTGGTTGCAGGTGAGGATTAAGATCATTAATATCGCCCCCAATCTCCCAGGTGCTGATTCAGTCAGAAGCTTAGGGAGGGAGGTCATTTATAAGGGTCTGGCGTGGGGGGTGGGTGGGTCCTGAGCACAGAGTTCCCCGCCGGTGGCTGGTGACGTGGTCGCAGCCATGAACGGGACGGAGGGCCCGAACTTCTACGTGCCCTTCTCCAACAAGACAGGCGTGGTGCGCAGCCCCTTCGAGTACCCGCAGTACTACCTGGCAGAGCCCTGGCAGTTCTCCATGCTGGCCGCCTACATGTTCATGCTCATCGTGCTCGGCTTCCCCATCAACTTCCTCACGCTCTACGTGACCGTGCAGCACAAGAAGCTGCGCACGCCGCTCAACTACATCCTGCTCAACCTGGCCTTGGCCGACCTCTTCATGGTCTTCGGGGGCTTCACCACCACCCTCTACACCTCTCTGCACGGATACTTTGTCTTCGGGCCCACCGGATGCAACCTGGAGGGTTTCTTCGCCACCTTGGGTGGTAAGGGCTGGAAGCAGTCAGGTGGTGGTAGTGGGGGTGGGGGGCGGCGCTGGAGGGGCTTGAGGTAAGCCGCAGACCCAGGGAGGGAGGGAGGCCAAGAGGCCTGCTTCCAGTGGAGCCAACAGCACTCTCCATACCTGTATGGTTGCAGTGGACTTGACTCTGATGCATGGAGACCCCGCGTGTGTCTGAGGAGAGCTGTGCTCCCCAGTTGTCAGTGGATGGGTTTTTTGTTTGTCTGTTTTTAACTAGCTCTCCAGGCCTTTCTTCCATGCTGCTCTGGGGGGGACATGAACCGCCAGCTCTGGGGTTAGCAGTCAAGGGTGTTAACTGCTCTGCAGCCCCCAAGGGTGCATTTTTCTAGACCCACAAACATCGTCAGTGATGAAAAGAGGCCAGTAAACCTGCTTTGTCCCCTTGGAAATGGGGTCCCTGTTCCATTTGACTGCCAGGAACCTGAGGCTCAAAGGAGGCCGAGGCTGGAGTGCCCAGGTCTTCCTGGCTCTTCAGACCAGGTTCTGAACTCCAAGTCTCTGCTGCCCTCGAAACAGCTGCGCTGGCTCAGACCCAGGCTGGGCACTGGGGACAGAGCTGAATAAGCCCTCCCTGCAGAGGCTCCTGCTCCAGGCTCTGCTTGGTGCTCAGCGGTGGGCCGGGGAGTGCCCCTCCAGCCTGGATCGTTGGTTGGGGTGTGTGGGCGCATGTTGACAAGTTCATCCTCATCAGAAGTAACCCCTTTCATAGGCCCGTGGCAATCTGTAGCTTTCAAAACTGCTCTGAGATGTTGTCTTTCACTTGACTGCAGAGCTGTAGGGTGCCTTGGGGATAATGGAGTCCCGAAGCAGGAGAGGGGAGGTGACAGGGCAGACCAGAGCTGGGGTCTCCTAGCTTGGATCCATGCTTGCTTCCTGGGACATACCACAGGCCAATGAGGCCGGAGGCAGGTCATTCCAAGCCAGGGTGGCCTGCTCTGCTATGTCATCCTTCCCGCAAGTGTCCAGGATGCTTGGGGACTCTGACCATCACTGGGCGTTGGCATCTTTCAACCCTCCCAGTTCACGCAGGCTCAGGCAGGAAGGTGGGGGTCGTCAGGTGGACCCTTCTCTGCAGGGTCAGTCCAGTTCACAACTGTCATGCTGGACTCGGTATTAGTAGCGTCCCTGGCTGTCTCAACATCCCCGTTTGGCTGGTGAACTACAAACAGCCCCCTGGGCCGCTGAGACCCAGACTGAATGCCATCATGATTTCCTCCTCTTTCTTCAGGACAGAGCATCACCCAAGCCTTCCTGGCCCCTAGGAGAGGGCGTCCTGGGGCTGGTTCTTCCACTTCCCTGGGGGAGAGGTAACCAGTGCAAGGGAGGGAGGCCCTAAGCTCCCAGTGCCTTCCATCCCCTACGGTACTCAGCCTGTGACCAGGATAGACACATTCTTCTGTAAGGTCTCCCTACAGGGTTCTGCAGCTACTTCAGGTTCAGTGTCCTGAGGCTGACTATCCGCCTCGCAAAGCAGTGTTCCTCCATAGACAGGCAGAGCCCCTGCTGACTGCCCATTGACTACCTTGCAGGTGAAATCGCCCTCTGGTCCTTGGTGGTCCTGGCCATCGAGCGGTACGTGGTGGTGTGTAAGCCCATGAGCAATTTCCGCTTCGGGGAGAACCACGCCATCATGGGTGTCGGCCTGACCTGGGTCATGGCTCTGGCCTGCGCCGCACCGCCTCTTGCCGGCTGGTCCAGGTAACAGGCTAAGCAGAAGGGAAGGGCCCCCTGTCAGGACTCAAACCCAGGCCTGTCTGTCTCTAGAGACCTAGCTCCTATGCCCCTGCCCTGAATACCCCTGCTACCTACCCCACCCCCAACAAGTGTCCCAGGGTAGGGGCATCAGGCCGCTTCTGATCCGTAGTGGCCCTATAGGGCAGAGTAGAGCTTCCTCTTTGGGTTTCCAAGGGTGTAAATCTTTACAGCAGCAAAAAGCCTCATCTTTCTCCCTTCGAGGCGCTGGTGCACTCAAACTGCAGTTAGCAGCTCAGTGAGCAACCCACTCCACCACCAGGGCTCAGGGTAGGAGGGGCAAAGGAACAGATCCTGGTGTTGCCATGGAGATGGGTCCTAGCCCCTAAGCCCCCTGGTCAAGGAGAATCTAAGATGCCCCAACACTTCACCTTGACTTTGCCCCTAATCCTCAACTAAGCCATGGCCCATTCCAATCCTCTTTGGCCCAGTGTTCCATGGGCGGCCCTGACCTTGGATCTGAACAGGAGGGAGGAGGGAGGACATGGTGGCATTGGCCACTAGGAACTTGTCTCAGGCCTTGGTTCCAGATGAGGCAGTGGGGGCACAGGGGGCACCCAGTCCACAGTCGGGGACTCGAGACTATGATCCAAGAAGACAGGGCTCCTGGGGGCTCCTGGGCTTTCTGCTTCCACAAACATCCCACTCTCCCCTCCCTTCATCCCCCTCCAATCGTCCCAGGGTCCATTTCTGCCCCCTTGACAACTCAGAACCCCACCCCCTCTCCCCACCTTTTTCCCTGCTGTCTGCTTTCTGGAGACAGACATCCCAGAGACAGACATACCGCAGACAATTTCTCCGTCCTCAGAAACCACGAAACACCCGCACCATCTGCCCTGGCTGCGCACTCTCAGAAACAGCACACAATCCCCCTGTGTGCTCCATTTGTCTGCCCATCTCTGGCCTAGGAAACACTCTTACCTTGTCGCTAGAGACAGTCCGATTTTTACAAACTGAGGGATTTTCCCTTTGGCTGCAATTTATACCCTGTGGAGCCTGAGACCACCCGGGGAGACAGTTGGTCTGAGGAAGACAAAGAACAGGGGCCGGGCAGGCCAACTTGTACAGCAAGATTCAGGGTCACTGGGTACTGCTGGAAGCCTCCTGGGCCAGAGGCTGGGCAGTCTCTTCTGACCACACAGCTACCACATGGTTTTCCACAAGGTGCGTGGGACTCCCTCACTTCAGTTGGTTGAACCGCACCATCAATCACCCAGCTGGGGAGATATTTCATTTTCCCCAATTTAGAGTAGAAGAGTGTGAGGCAGCGAGGGGCAGGGGCTGGCATGGGACCCCACTAAGCTATGGGAGCAGAGGCAGCATTCTGCCTGTGGGTCCTCCTGAGTGAGCTCCCCCTGCCCGGCGCCAGGTACATCCCGGAAGGCATGCAGTGCTCCTGCGGTATCGACTACTACACACTCAAGCCCGAGGTCAACAACGAGTCTTTTGTCATCTACATGTTCATCGTCCATTTTACGATCCCCATGATCATCATCTTCTTCTGCTACGGCCAGCTGGTCTTCACGGTCAAGGAGGTACGTGCGCTCGGGGGGACGGCCTCAGCCCCGAGGGCCCAGCCGTGTCTCCCTTCTCGGTGGCCAGCAACGTGCTAGGAGCCCATCTGGATGCCAGGCCTCTCCCCCTGCAGGCAGCTGCCCAGCAGCAGGAGTCGGCCACCACCCAGAAGGCAGAGAAGGAGGTCACCCGCATGGTCATCATCATGGTCATCGCGTTCCTGATCTGCTGGGTGCCCTATGCGAGCGTGGCCTTCTACATCTTCACCCACCAGGGCTCCAACTTCGGCCCCATCTTCATGACCTTCCCGGCCTTCTTCGCTAAGACCTCCTCCATCTACAACCCAGTCATCTACATCATGATGAACAAGCAGGTGCCTGAGGGCAGGGGCGGGAGGCTCAGGCTGCCAATCTGGGCGATGGGGGCAGGGAGGTGGGTGTGTACCACGGGGTGGCAGCCTCACCGGGACACACTGTATCAGAACCTTTTGAGGCAGGCCCAGGCATCTGAATTTTGGACCAGCCTTCCAGAGGGTGCTGGCGCTCTTTCTTGGGCTCGGGCAGTGCTGGTCCAGATGGTGGGAGGCCTGCTCTACGGCTGAGAGTGTCTCAAGTCCGAAGACTTGGGGCAGTGTCAGTTTCAGAGAAGCCGAACTGGAAGCTCCGAAGTCTCATTCTGAGGCCAGATCTGGAAGGGTTCCAGCGTCTAGCGGTTTCCCGGTGGGATCCATGCTTCCAGAAGGACAGATCACGTCTTTGGGCTGGGGCCTGGGTTCAAATCCCTTGGCCACTTTCTAGCTGTGTGACCTGGGGCCCATCGCGTCTGCTTCCTCCTCCTCAGACAGACAGTGGGCGGGAAGTGCTGGCCTTGAGTCTCTCGCTTGCTTCCAGTGATGGCATCTGGGGTTCGGTCCCTGGCATGGGGGTGGGTGGGGGGCATGTCGATCCTTTGTGCTGAGCAGGTGCCCTCAGGTGAGCCAAGTGAGAGGGGAGTGGAGATGGCTGAGGGGCAGAATCCAAGAATCGGGGGAGGAACTAGAAGCCAATGTCCACCCTGAGCCATCTGCTGGGGCCCTCATGGAAACCCCCGGCGCTGACCCACACCCTCCTTGCCTTCCAGTTCCGGAACTGCATGCTCACCACCATCTGCTGCGGGAAGAACCCCTTCGGGGAGGAAGAGGCCACCACGGTCTCTAAGACGGAGACCAGCCAGGTGGCCCCAGCCTGAGCCCTGCCTGGGACTCTGCCCTGCTGTAGGAGAACCACACCCCACACCCGCCCTGGCTCAGAGCCCCCCATCAGGAGGGCACCTGTGGGAGCCAGGCCACACAGGCTCCCTGATTAAAAGAAAAAGAAAAATAGAGACCTAATGAAAGAACAATGAAGCCACCCTCCCCTCAGTGGGGTTATCCCGAGCAGGGACACATATCAAGACCCCAGCCTGGAGTCCCTGGGGCTGGCAGGACCTGTCCCCTGCACCCTTATCTCTCAGGACAAGGACTCTGGCTCTCTGGAAACGTGTCCCAGCTTAGGGATAAGTGTCTAGCACCAAGAGGGGCACACAGTAGGTACATAATAAATGCTTGGTGGCCCAAGGAAGGAATGGATGGAGGCGTGAATGGAGGAATGGGAGCAGGAAGGGAAACCCTGCCTGTCCTCTCAAGACCACCTTGGTGAGAGTAGCTCATCCCTTTGGCTGCGTGAGCGTGGGCAGGGCTTTCTCTCTGTCCCCCATCGAGCAGGAACCCACTTCTGGCCTGCTGTCTCCCAGGCTGCTGTGAAGGTCGGATGTGCGTGTGTGCGCTGCCCTGTAAGCACTTTGTAAACTATAAGGAGATGTAAACGGTAAGGGACAGCCTGTAGTTGATGTCCTTCATAATACCAATTAATGTGGTTAATCCATTACTGTGATCGCCTCCTCTTGATAGGGATCCTTTGCAGATTGAGTACCCACACAATGGGGTTTCCATCGGCCGCATCAGGTTGTCAGACAATTAGTCAGACATTCAAGGCCATGCCAGGACTGGGAATCCGGCTCCGGGAAGGGACAGTCAAATAAACAGCATCAGGGGTCTGGCATCTGGGGCCAAGGCCCAGGTCTCATCTCCCACGGCAACCCCAGGCCCGGTGTCTCCCTCAGCAGGCCTTTCTCAAAGCTTCTGGAAAACAGCTGCTCCTTGGAGCCCAGCTCCCAATCCACAAGGTCTCTGGGTCAGCATGGAGCTTCTAGAAGCCATGCCCACCTGCCCACGTTTAATGAAGAGCTGCATTCCCTAAGGTCCTGTTGTCTCACAGAGCTTAGCAACCCCCCGTGGGAGGTTCCACTGGGCCCATGTTCCCTGCAGGTGGGTGCTCAGTTTCAGGTGGCAGCTCCCCTGGTGGACATGGCCCTGTCTCCAGCAGCTGCTGGTCCATTCCCACGAGAGTCAGGGCTTCCAAGCCTGCCAGAACTCGAGGGAGTCAGACTGGAGCTGCTGCAGTGACTCCCACCTCCCATTACCAAAGCCGGAAGCTCTAGCTCTCCCCAGCTCTGCCTGGGGACAAAGGCAACCCAAGACATTAAAAGTGCAGCTTCTTACGCTTCATGTTAATGGCTGGTGGCTTTTGTTCCTCTTAAGCATCTTGTGTGCGGGATGAATTGAAACGGGCTGCTTCCACCTGGTGCTAGGCCCTGGAATGTCTGGATTGGGCAGCCAGCAGAGCACAGCTGCTCAGAGCCCCTGGGAACAGAGGTGGGGTGGGGCTGGGGGAGGGAGAAGCAGTCCCAGGAACAGGGAGCACCTCCACTTTGGAGTCACCCAGACTTAAGTGACCCATGAAACTGCAAGCAAGTATTTTCTACCTCTCTGAGCCCCTAACAGGAGTCCAGTGGCACAGTGGCTATGCACTGCGCGGCTAACTGCGGTCATCAGCTGGAAACCACCAGCTTCTCGGGCTTTCTACTCCCGGAGAGAGTTACATCTCAGAAACCCGCAGGGGCGGTTCGACCTGCCTTACCGCCTTGCTACGTGTCGGCATGGACTCGAAGGCAGTGAGTTTGGGTTTGTGGTTTTTGTTTTATTTTTACAACCCCCTACGTGTTGGCCTGCTGAGCGCAAGGTTCATGTTCAAATCTGCCAGCCTCTTCAAGGGACAAAGCTGAGGCTCCTGTCAAGATTCACAATCTCAGAAGCCCTGGAACGAGTCAGAATCAACTTGACAGCAGTGGGTTTTGGTGGGTTTGGACCCTTCTAAAGGGAATGTACGAAGAGTTTCAGTGGTGCGGTCTGGTAAGCTAACTGAAAGGTCAGTGGTTCGAACCCACCCGCTGCTCCTGTAAAAGCTTTGCAGCCTCAGAAACTGTCCACGGTTGCTGGGTCGGAATCGACTCGATGACAGTGCATAAAGGGAGTCTTACAGAGGCGGTTGGGGGAAACTGGACTTGAGGCATCAGCAGATGGAGGGAACTTGTGGCATGCCTGTCCTAAAGCCCATCTGCAAGGCCAACAGGACGGAAGAATGGGTCTCCAGGGCCACTCCCGTCCTCCAAGATGGGCCGGGAGGGAGGGGGCAGGGATGGGGAGATTCCAGTGCTGTGGTGGGGCAAAGGCAAGAGGCACATAGGGTCTCAATTGTTGCCCTTGACTGCGCTGTCTCACCAGGTGATGCCAGTCAGGAGTCCTTTGGTGGCAAGTGACAAGGCATTCGATGTAGGGAGGCTGAAACAAAAGAGGGGAGTGTGGCTCAGACATAAGAAGAGGCCAGGGCTTTGAGCACAGCTGTTTGCAGAGGTTCTGAAGATGTCCCCAGGGTCACTCCCATCCCCACGCATACCCCCTTTTCCCTGTGCCGGCTTCATTGTCAGGCGGGCTGGTGCCTAGAGGTGGCACAAATAACCACCTTAGTCCAGCGTCCCAGCCTGCAGACAGAAGGTTGCTCCTCCCCGTTGGTTCCAGAAAAGATCTCAGGTAGAGCTCTCATTGACCAGGCCTTGGTCACATGCACCTGTCTAAACTTATCACTGTGGCTGGGGGATGGAGAGCCTTCCCCGGATTGGCTGTGCCAGCTCACATGATCATTCCTGCAGCCCAGAAGCGTTAACCCCACTGAAACCAAACGGTCTGAGAGTTGGGAGAGGTAGGTTCCCCTGAAGGAGACCCAGGGGTGGGATGGCCAGAAGGAGGAGGTACAAGAGGTAGGCAGGAGACAGGTGGGCAGAACCAACAGTGGCCCAGAGGTTGAAGGGAAAGATAGTGACATTTCAGCTGCCCTGCCCTGCAGGCAGCTCCTTCCCAGCACTCCCCTGGCCCCACTTCGCCTCCTACCCTGGGGGGAGTGGTGGTGGTAGTGGTGGTGGTGGTGGGAATCCACTCTAACACAAGAGCCATCTCAGAAAGCCTCTGTACCTCCTTAGCTTAGAATCATTTGACAGTCACTGGTTGGGCACCTGTGGTCTCAATGCAAAAAGCAAGTGCCTCTGACTTACAGCGGGCAAGGAGCACAGGCCCTCTCCAGCCCGTCAGGTGGATTAAGCACCTGCTGTTTCTGACTGTAGCTTCAATCAAACCAACCCGAGCAGTGACCTGGCCAGTCTCAGGCCCATCCTCTGGGAGGAGACAGAATGAGGCCCTCGGTCGGTCAGCAGCCACCAGGCTTGATGTTGCTGCTGGTGACTGTGCCGTGTCCCCAGCCTGTGCCCCAGTAGAAAACCAGGCACTCCTGACAGTAGCACGACCTTGGGGTCAAGTCTCTGAATCTCTCAGGCCCCTCAGCTGGGCAGTGGAGAATCATCCCACTGAGTACAGTCCAAAGTAGTTGAGATGATTGGTGTAAAGGATGAATCCCACAGTATGTTTTCAATAAATGTGAGATCCCTTCCCAGGGAGGCAGCCAGTTCAAAGGAAGCAGCCTCCGGCTTGGTAGCAGATAGACAAAGGGGTACATTGCAGAGAGCCTCAATATACATTCCTCTTTCTTCCTTTCGTCATAGCACCCGAGCTCTAGCTGAGCACTTTGTCGCCCAGGGCAAGACTGGGTCACCCAGCCTCTCTGGCACACAGGGTGGTGGGAGATCAAGGTCTGGCCGCTGCCACGTATTCAGAGCAGTGTGTGCAGCCTCTGAGCGTGCATTTCAAAGAACAGAGACTGCCTCCAGTCCCTTCGGTCCTTCCTGCTGACTGGACAGTGGATGTCAGGAGCTGCAGCAGCTCTATTGGAGCAGGAGGTAGACGCTGCAGAGAGTGACAGAGCAGAAAGAGAGAGGAAGCCCAGGTCTGCAATGCTGCTTTGCCAGCCCTGGATACCTTCCACGTGAATGGCTTTATAAGATAATGGCTTCAGAGTTTCTTGTTTAAGCGGCTGTTGTTTTGCAGTCTCTGTTAGAGCTAGTATCTTACAAATTATATTAGAGGGCTCCCAGGTGAATCCCCACGGTCTGAATTCAGGAAACCTAACTAAATGCAGGGCTTCTCTGAACTTTGGCCTTTTCTTGTTTAAATAAAACAGCAAATACTAGCAATAAACAGCCAGAGAAGCAAAAGATTTCTTCAAAGAAAACTACAGAATGCTACTCCAAGAAAACAACAGAGAGCCACATAAATGAAAGAACATTCCATGTTCATGGATAGGAAGGCTTAACATTTTGAAAATGTCAGTACTACCCAAGGAGATCTACAAATATGCAACTCCAGTCTTTTAAAAAAAATGGAAAAACTAATTGCTAACTTTATATGCAAAGGGAAGAGACCCAGGAATTAAAAAAAAATTTTTTTAAAGAATAAAAACAAAATGAGAGGTCACTACCTGACCTCAAAACCTATTACACAGCCACAGTAATAAAACAAAAAACAAAACTAGCACTGGTACAATGATAGATGTATAAACCAAGGGAACAGGATATAAAACTCAAACAAATCTGTCCACCTGCGGACAAATGGTCTTTGATGAAGGGCCAAAAGACATTAAATGGGAAAAAGACAGTCTCTTCAACAAATGGTGCTGGCAAAATTGATCTCCATCTGCATGAAATAGAACCCATACCTCACCCTGTGTACCAAAATGAGTTCAAGATGGGTCAAAGTCCTAACTAAATCCCACAGCTATAAAGACCATCATAAACAAACAAACAGGGACAAACTGAAGGGTCCTATTTCAGGGCATAGACATACTATCAGACATAACGAAGCACACACACCATAGAAGAAAAAATAGATGACTGGGACTTACAAGATACTTATGTACATCAAAAAA